AAAAAACTGTGTATTATGTAGGCAAAATGGCAGATTCCATCAATTATATAACTTTTACTTTATCAAATAAGAAATATTAATATAAAAATTACAAATATAATAAATTCTTAAAGTTTTAAGAACAACTGTGTAATAAAGTGGATTTTTAATTTATATTTTTAATTGTTTGTTATTAATTTTATAATTTGTTTCAGATGATAATTTGAAAACATTAGCTGTTATTTTAAGATAAAATTTTTATTTAAGATCTTAAAATTGGAGCAATGATACCATATCAAAAATGAGATAGATGAGGAACAATGCTCTCCCGTCAAAACTGCCCTCTGCCACGACATATGATTCTGCTATACTCGGCCTTCTTCTTAGATAGGCATTTATGTTATTAGTTCAAAAATTCAGTTTGGGAGTTTCATTTTTGAATCCTGCAATGTCCTTGATGCAACAATGACTTCTTTCATTTAACCTATATTTCTGAACCAGTAACCGTAAACAGATTTAATAAGGTCTTCCCAAACATTTCCAATTATGTTCAAGTCTGGAGACTTAATGGGCTGCTATGAAGTCCAAAGATTATGTTTAGCAAACCAAGACTCTGTTTCCTTTGAAGAATGGCTGTCTTGTTGTAATATATACTTACAAACAACTTTGCTCATTTATATCCAATAAATTACTTTGTATCACTTGTAAGTTTGATTTTGAGCTCAAATTTTCCAGAACAGAGAAAACCACATTGAATTTGCTATTCCATTTAATGGCTGACAAAGGCATTACTAATCCATCATCAGTTTGCCTCTGGGAGAACATTTGCCCATTTTTTCTGAAATCATAGTAGCACTTGATTGAATCTGTTGGGACCATCCAAATTAAATTGTTTTTTATCTGAAAGATGACATTCTTTCACTTTTTCAGTCCATAATGTCATTGTACAAATTCTAATCACATCCTTTTGTGTTGGTCAAAAGAAACTGCTTCTTGAACTTGTATTTTAACTTTAGTGGTTTTTGTAACATTCTTTGAACAGTTTAGCTGCAGAACTGAAACTTGCTGGCTAGCAATATCTCTGTCTCTTGATATTGGCTAAAAGCTATTGGACATCCTCTACTTGTCTTCTTTCTATAATTATTCTCATCTGTGAGAAAATTAATGACAACACGCTTACTTTCGATCAATCAATACGCAACTTTACATTTGGAATGTTCATCTGCATTTCAATTTCTTCAGAAGACAATCTAGTGTCTTTAGTCTTGTGAAAATGTTCAAAAAATTATTGAACTACTACACCATAAAATGCAAATTTGTTGTTATACTACTGTGAGGTGGTGAATAGATAAATAAGATGTAAGAAATTAAAGGAATAGATATGAATTAATAACATTTTGACTCATCTATTATTCACTTATCTGAGCAAAATAAATATTTAATAATTCTTGAGAATCTACTTAATTTATTAATACTGCATTACAACAAGAATATGACTAGCTATGATAAACGTTTCATTAAATTTTATCAGAATAGATTTTAAGCTAGGTAAGTAAGAATCGTATCATTTTGATACAAAGTGTACTGTACATATATCAATGTGGTGTACAGGCTATAATTTTCTGGCATTTTGAAGAGAGAGAGTTAAAAATGGGAAAAAGAAATTTTTTGAAATGAAAGCATCAAATAGGAAAACACACACAACTACTTGGCATAAGTTTGTCAGGTTGTGAAAAAATTCATTTTATTACATTTCAATGAACAAATTTGAAAATTAATAACAAATTATCAACACATTTCATTTTAAAGTATGAAAGAGCAATATTAATTAAACAATACAGGTAGCCCTCGGTTTACGCCGCTGCGCAATTCGCCGTTTCGAGGTGTAATTCCCCGATTTTCCCTATGCTAGACTGATTTTCATTTCAGTGTTGACGTATTTATCGAGCCGCGACATTGTACATTCATTAAAACAAAGATTTTTATTAAATATATTTGTTTTTTCTGTTTAATATTATTGGGTATGTATACATTTGCATTAAATTAATATTAAAATAAACGTTTAGGTACCCACGAGTCAAGATATTAAACTTAATAGTCCAATAAATGGCGTCCGAATCCATAGCGCCAATGAATGTATCCCGTATCAGTTCGTTCAGGAAAACACCTTACGACGCAATAGCACTTCCGGCGATCACAAATTATCGTTAGTGAGACAAATGTACTTCTCGTTGGCCAGACGATATTTATCTCTCCTTAGCCACCTTGAATTTTCCCGCTCAAACTGACCTTATATATGCGCTACGGCGGCCGGTGGTCGACCAATCAGTGTCTTCGTTCGTCTGTAGCTGTACGTCGGGTTAACGCATCCTTTCGACTAAGGAAAGAAAGTTTGACGGATGAAGTTTGTGAGTTAGACAATGTTGGGAGCGAAGTGCAAATGTAAAAAGGAGCATCATACTCGACCATATTCCGAAATTCTTAATGAAAGAAATCAAAAATGTAAACAATTAAAGATGGATACTTTTTTCCGAAAAATGTAAGAAATTCGAAACTAAAATTTTTAAATAAAAACATTTTACTTTATTTTATTATAAAATACATTTTAAAAATTAAACATTTATATATATTTTGTATTATATTGTATTAATAAACAAAATTATTAGCTTATTTTTCACTTATATACAACCTAACCCTATACCTCAGTGTAAATATGGGTTGGTTTTACGCCGATTCGATTTGCGCCGGCTTTTGTAGGAACGGAACTGCGGCGTAAACCGAGGCTACCTGTACAATGAAGATGAATATATTAATAATTTAACATAATGGTAGAATTGAATAAATATTAATTATTTTAACTTATTTCAAAAGATTGGAATAGGTTTTATGAATATTCAGTAATTGCATCATTGTCAAAATATTATTGAAATTAACTAATACAGGAAATCCTGGTTAGTAATCCTGAAAAATAATAAAATGAATCTCTTCGCAACATGACAAACTTATGAAAAGTAGTTTTATTTAGCGAATAAACTTGTCTAACAAAACATATATTATTAGGCAATTACAAGCGAGCAGCTTTTCCCCAGTAAATTTGCTCTTACAGCTTTCATAAAACTCAGAAAAGCATTATTTTTCTCCATCTGATTTTTGTTAGTAAGTTCTATGGCAAGAGAGAATAGATTAGAAGCTATCTACAAGTAACTTTCACCAATTGTTAAAGTCTACGAATGAATTTTTTGTAGTCACATTATTTGTAACTTTGAAACAGCATTTTTTCTTTGGGAAAGAATGAAATTAAATCATTTCCTTTAGGAAAATGTTTTTATTACGTATATTTCCAAAGGAAAAATGTCATCCAATAAATATGCAAGGAAAAATGCATTAATTTTCAACGGTACTCTTAAAAAATTAAGGTTTATTATACTTTTTAAGTATTAAACAGCAAGCTTGCATTTAAATGTCTCTTAAGACAGCGGCGCCGTCACTTTCGACGTGACGTCAGAGGCGCTTTTTACGGTTACGCGACTGTTTTGCTCGGACGATCGGTCAAATTCGCCGCTGGCGATATACTCGTTACGTAGTTCTACAGAACCAATGAACATTTCGTCTACCTCTTTAGGAACGATTATTCCGTAGTTTGTTTTGTAAAATGACAACTTCCATTTGTTGTCTATTTGATAAATAAACGAAAACGAAATCGCGGGCCCGGCAGATATATAAATTTCAATAAAATCGACGATAATCTATCTTACGGCTCCGTTTCGTAATCCCGGCATAGCCGAGACAAGGCCGAAGCGTGAAGCGCAAACGCGCGCCTTCTTTGACTTAGGCCAGGGGTCGGCAGTTTGTCGAGTGAGAAGAGCCACCAAGTTGTAACGGAAAGAGGGTGACAAAAGTACCCGAGAGCCGCGTATACGTAATATACATACGTAGAGAATATGGATTTTTGTGGGAAAATGTTCAAGATGTTGTATTTAAAAATTTACATTAGAACGGTGTCCACGCATGGCTTTTGATAGCTTTACTATATCTGGCAAAATAGCTACTTATTTTTAATTGAATACATACATGACTGTAAATTTTCATCCGTTATTCCGCTTCTAAGAGAGCCGACCCCCGACCTAGGCACACGCTCCTTTCTCGCAAACTTTCGAATACGCACGAGAAACGCCTACTTTCCATCGAAGGGTATAGCATAGAATGACGTCGAGTCGATGATCGAACATGCTTCGATCATCGAATGCGAATTTGCTTGGATATTGCCAAGTTTGCGTCGGCCTTAAAGGCTACGGCGAGCTAGGTAACACGGAAGCAAACCGGTCGACGTCGCACCGGAAGCGACACGTATAGTCCGACTAGAACGTTTAGCGGAGCGACGAAAAGCGTAGTCGAAATCCGCCGTGGCAAGGCCACGCCGCCATTAACCGTAACCCGATCCCAATCTCATAACAGAAACCGATGCGAGTTTAGAGTAAGAATAAGAATTTTAAACAAGTTTCGGTAATAAAGAGTGTAGGCGAGTGTGGTTTTGACTGCCAAGCCGACCGAAAGACACCCGCTACCGAGTCGCCAAAAGAGTGGTAACGATGGGTGACGGACGATACAAATCTAGCGAAGATTTAGTTATTCGTAGCGAAAACCGGATTGCACTAATCGATGGTAAAAAAGAAAAAACAATATAATTGGACCGAATAAACGTTACGTTTATTCGGTCCAATTATATTGTTACGCCGATAATATTTTTTCCACCTCCGTAGGTGTTACGCGAGGGAAAATAAAAATAGTGCGGGCTACATTCGAAACATGTTTTATTTAAAGGTAATTTTCGTAAAATGTCGACCGTGGCCGTTAGATATTAAGCCTCGGTACGGAATAATGGACGAGACGAAATTAATTTTGTTTATAGGATGTAAACTAAAATAATAGAAAATTATAAATTTTAAGATGGGCATTTAAGCGCGAGATATTGTTTGTTGGTCGATCGACCGCAGTTCTTTAAATCGGCATAATTTGAAAAGACTGGATTTTTTCCAGCGGTTACGATTTCGGATACCTCTTAAAACTACTTACCAATCAGAATTTACCCAGCGAAGAATCCGAATTTTTCGAATTATTACACATTTACTTTCCCGCCGTCTACGACGTAAAATACCTGATGAAGAGTTGTAAAAACCTGAAAGGAGGATTGCAAGAAGTTGCCGAACAACTAGAGGTAAATATATTGTACGCCGTTTTCTAACATTAGATTAATGCCGAATTTATTATACACGGTCAAACGACTAAACTGGATAAAAATATAGACATTTTGAAAATTATATACGTAAATCTTAAGCGGCGCGCGTGTAATATTTATATTTACGACGTACGTCACCATCTCTCGTCTCTCACCAGCCGGTCGCTGATTGGCTAATCCAAATGATTAGCCAATCGGCGACCAGAGACTGTAACCAGAACACGGTCCTCGGTTTTCGACCGAGTCGTAACGGGAGGGGGAGAAAACAATCGGTTAACCGCGGGACGAGAAACTTTTAAAAACATTTGACACTAACCGAGTGCTTTTACGGGTGAAAATTAAAAATGTTTATTCGATTATACGGGTTAAAGTCTTTCTTTTTAATTGTTTAAAAATCTCCGTTTTTCCCTCTAGCTGGAGAGAATCGGCCCCCAACATCAAGCGGGAAGCGACAGTCTGTTAACCGGTGCTGCATTTTTTAAAATGAGAGAGGTAAACCATTTTATTAAAAAATATTGGAATAATTAAGATTTCGCGGTAAAAATAAAATGTAACGGACCGGCTGGCTTAAGCGGTATTTATAATACTGTAATACGGTTAAAAGGAGGCAAAATTCGTTAAAATATTTGAGGGAAGCCGAAACATTGCCTACGAATGACGGAAGAATAACAGTTTTCGGGAATAACGGCGCGGAGCGGAGGAAAGCGTTTTGACGGCCGGACTAACGGACTTTGTTTTTTTCGGCAGATGTTCTTCGAAGACAACATCGACGACGCCAAGTACTGCGGCCACCTGTACGGACTGGGCACCTCCTACACCGTCAACGGACAACCCGAAGATGCGCTCAACGTCTCCTGACCGCCGGCCCGCGGTGCGCCGCCCGTCCAATTTCTACCGGGGTCCCCGGCCGGCGGCGTCCCGTTCCGCGGGACGGACTAGGGCCCGCGGGCCGCCTCCCCTCCTCCCGGAGTTTTAACGGCCTTTTCGTCTTTTTTTTGTTTTTTAATCTTCGGCAGACGCCCCGGGGGCGGCCGCCACACGCGCGCGCGCGTCTGTGATATATGGAATTCCATTTTTATTACGTAATTTTTGATAATTTAGCCACAGTCGACCGGGACCACGTCGGGTTTTTAAGGCGAAAGCCGCGCCCCGGCGGATTTTATCAACCTTTATGTAAATAAAAGAATAGTTTTTGTCTGTCCGTGACTCTTCCTCCCTGGCCCGGAAAAGTGCCAAATTTGCCACGTTTTAACGGGCGCCGGACGGGGCGAATTTTCAAAAGTGAAATAACTCGCGTACGCAACACGCATTTTATTACTTTTTATTAGTTTTATCGTTTCTAACCTTCCGCGGTCGGGCAGATTCCGTAAATGGTCGGTCTACCCACGTCGATTAAGCGCCTAAAGACTACATTTGCCACGGTCTCGAGTTCTTTAATCGAAAACACTTGGCTTTTTACACACGCGTGGACATTCGATTCGATCGAAGTGACGCGCGCTGCCGGTGACCGTAAACTATAATACGCCGGGCGACTATCCGCTCGCCCGGCCAATTCTCCGTACAAAATAAAAGTCGACCGCCGATTCTCGCCCCGATCGAGCGCCATTTTTCCCTTCTCCGAAACGTAATACAACTATTCGGCGGGCGGGACGATGTTTCCTCCTGGCGGGTCGGACATTCGCAGCTTGGCCTTGGCTTCGGCCTCCCTCTGCATGGTCTCCAGTTTATCCAGGGTGATGGACTTGAGGGGCATCAGCTTGGGTTTGCACAGGACGAACGAGCGTTCTTCCCGTTGGAACAGCATTCCCTTGGTGGGGATGGCTTCCTTGGCCGGGGCCCTCTCCGTTTTCTCTCCTCGCGACGTCATCTGAAAGCCAAAGTCGATTAACCAAACACTGTCGCTACCGTAACACGTCGGATGTAAGAGCCGTCGCAAACTACAGGATGCGGGAGCTAGCGTACGCTCGCTCGCGCTCCTAAGAGCCGCCGCAAACTACAGGATGCGGGAGCTAGCGTACGCTCGCTCGCGCTCCTAAGCCACGCCTTTTTTCCCATGATGCTTTGAGCCATTTTTGCTAGGTAAGCTACGCGAGCACGAAGCAGCCGCAAACTACACAACGTTTGCTCGCGTAACGTCCTCCACATGACGTGGATTCCACAGATGTAGATTGGCTATAGAACAAGATTTTATTATAACCTATACTTGTAATCAGTCAGTTTTCGTTCCGAACTTTGAAACAGCATGGAAAAAACATGTTTACTAGTTAAGCCTAACTAGGCTTAACTAGCCGAAAACTATTTATACTGTATATTACTATTTACATACAACGGTTATACTATTTTCTTTTCAATACTGAATGTATTAATCATGTAATTTACGTACATCGATAAAATTCTATAATTTCTTTTTCGATATGTGACATGTTTATGTTGTCATCCATTTTTCCCGTCCTCTCTTGCTAGCGTAAATACTCTAGTTGTTGAAATATCTGAACAGCGAGCGTACTCTCGTATCGCTGCGCTAGCGAAGGAAAAACAGCGTGGGCAAGAAGACATGGGCGGAGCCTTCGACGTCATCGGTTGTCTAGCGCACGTTTGCTAGCGTGTTTGCTCTCGCAAAGCCCTAGTTTGCGGCGGCTCTAAAAGACGTAGATAATAGTTTACAAAATGGGCTAAATCGCCCCGCGTTAACCCGTTTAAATCTTAAAATTGCGACCTTTCTTACGCCAGCGCGTCCAAACTCGCCGATTTCCGCCGCAACCCGTTAACTTATTTGGATGACTAATTACGGCGGGCGCCTTCCGTTCATCTCCTCCCGCCGATTTCGTCGCTTACCTTCGAATTAGCAATTGGTCCGACCTCCACACTTTCCAATCGGCCGTCTTCGGCATAGCGCCACGCCCCGTACTGTCCGGCCTGGTGGAGAAGTTTCCATCCGGAGCCGGATCTACATAAATAGGTCTACTCTGTCCTCTGCCACAGCGGCCATTTTGGGGCTTACGGATACAGTATATCCCAAGTGAAAGAATGGGTTATTGTGTGGCACGAAATTGTAAAAGTAAACCTTCGGACGTTAGATTATTTAGATTTCTTGAAGAAAAGCAAGATGGCTGCAGACGGGATAAATGACGGCCGACCGAACCTTCTACACCCAGTACGACTGTCGAGATCTTAACGGAGCGTACACCGTGCCCGCGGTAGCAATACACTCGAAGGAACATGCCTCTATGCCAGATATTTGCCGGCTTCGAGTGTCGGTGGAGTACTTAATATAATTTTAGATGATGCGGGTACTCGTTCCCGCTCGGGTGTCGACGCGCCAGTGGCAGTGAGCGCCGAAGCATCGGTCCAGGCTCGGCTACCGCTCTCTTCCGATGCCAGCGCGGAGAATAGCAATAGTACCGGTTCGAGGTAAATACTGCTTTTGATCGTAAGAGCTAACGCATTTTTTTCGTTACGGGCACCGGTCGCCACGCTTTTAACTCTCGCCAGCGAGATGGCGCCCGCACTGCGCCGTTACGACGCCTGGCCAAGGGTGGCGCGTCGAACTCTATTCTCTGTCGATAAACGTTAGCCGGGCCGTCCGTTAAACGCGCGGTAGGAGCCCGGAAGTAGGCCTCATGTGGCCAAGTGTCACGTATAGAGGTACGGTTCCTTCGAATTTTCTCGGATGTTATTGCACACTTTACAAAATGCCGGCCTGGGTGATAAAACTAATGCGATTAGTTTGGATGGAGACGGCGAACGACGAGGATGTTCTTTATTTTTCCACCGTTTTAATGGAGTCTCGTAACGGTCCGAAGTTATTAGACCGGAATCTCGCTGGTTTTACGTAATTTTAATTTCGTGTCGATAAGACTTTACTACTGGTCCGGGTTTGTTTAAAACCCGCACTATTCAAAAAGCCCCAAAATGAGATGGCCGAGCGGTGGAGGTGGCAGCCTACCGGCGGATGGAAAAATCTCCAGGAATTTTTTGGGGTGGTCCGGATACGTCGGCCGCGTCCCTAACTACCCGCCCGCCCCATTGCGGGCCGGATCGAAGCCGTAATGGGCTGGCTAAACGAAGGTCCTCTTAGTGCCCGCTGCGGAAACTTAAAAAAAAAGCCCCAAAACGGCGGTTCCAGACCTATTTATATAGACCCGGCTTTGGACTAGCGTTGCGGCACTAGTCGAGAGCGAGATCTTTTTGTGCACCGTATATAACGGAAAGCGTCGATAATCTTGGCCGAGACAAGATTGGAGTATTTCCAAAAACACCAAACTGGGGGCCTTAAAGCTTTTTGACCAAAACAGATAAGAACGATGAAAAAATTTGCGTGTTACAACGATCATCTTGTCTATAAAACGGCTTAAAAGGCGACACCGGGAATCGATAAATGGCGGCGAAAGTCTCCCTAGTTCTTATAAAGAGAAATATCGACCGGCTAAACCCGATTTTTCCATACCTAAATGCGAAACGACCACGACTTAATTTCGTCTAAAGCCACGTTTACGTCGGCATCGGATACGGCCTGTGAAACGATGCCATGTGTCCGCATCGTTTCCCACGGAAGGAACGATAGGTTCGTTTTATTCCGTTCCGGAAGAGTCCGTCGTCGGACGCTTTCGGAGAGACGTTCCTCCGCCGGAACCGGAAGTAACGAGGAGGAAGAAAATCCGACGGGGTAAATACTTACTCGTAATCGTTCCCAGATTCTGGCTGACGGACGTTCTTTCTCGTCGAATCCACCTTCGCTCAGCGCCACCTGCCGCCATCGATCGATTTTCACTCCAAATTTACGGGAGAATATTTTGATACAATTTTAAGATTTTACTTTTAAAAAGGACGACGGTGATCATTTGTGTTACATTATTTATCCTTTTATCGAAAAATGGCTTAATTGTAGTTTTCCGTCTTCGAAAAAAAAGGAACGGACGATTCCCATTCGATACCGAATCGTAGACGTCGCCGACTTCCGGTAAAAACCAAGATTTGAGCGTCGTTTCAAAATGGGAAGAGATAGACCCTGAAACGGACGTGTTAAAATAATTGAATGCCGGTTGTCGCGACTCGCGAATTGCCCGCAGTATTTTATCGTCGACGTCGATCGTATTTATAGGTAAAAATGTCGAAATTCCAACGAATATTCTCGCTTGGCCGACGGAAGGAACGATATCATTCGATTCCGTATTTCGTTCCGGAAGACTCCGTCGTCGGACGCGTGTCCGCCCAAACGGGAGGAAAATCCCTCGGCCATCGGAAAAAAGGAAAGATTCGTAGTTTAGGAACCGGTCTATTTGAAAATAAAAAGAAACAAATCGGAACACGGTAACAATTATTAATAGCGGTACGGGACCATTTAAACTTTAGGTCGGCACTCTTCGGGAAGAGAGGTTTGGTTTTTCCCCCAATGTTGGCAAAATTGTTTGAAATTAATTGCCGCGTATTTGAGAATGGTTTTAACTTTTGGCCCGGTAACGTAATCGAGAAGAGGATACCTCGATTTCCGACGGGAAAAACGGAAATTTTTGGCTTTGGCTTCGTAATACCCGAACACTCCCGATTATTGCAGAAATCGAAAATAATCGAGAACTGGTGATTAAATAATAAAAATTAGCTTCTCTACATTCCAAATCGATGAATTTGCATATTTCGTACTTTTATCTACCCATCCTTTTCTCCTCGGTACCATTTCTTATTTTGGTTTAAAAAAGTAATAATAATAATATGTTTAATTGAAGAATAACTTTTTATTCGAGAGTTGGATAAGTAAGATGTCGCCCATAACCTATTAATTAAAGGTCGTTTGGGCTTCCACTCGTCCGTGTTTTGTTTCCGTGCTAAAACGGATGCGATTTAAAATGAATAGAAAATCGGTCGGAGAGGAGGACGTCCCGTCGACAGACCAGAGAATTAATTACAGATTCTCCGTTTCCCGGTTCGTTGATCTTTATAAACAAAAAAAAATAATTATCTGGATGTGTATTGCGCGTAAAACTTACAATTAACCGACGATTCTTTCCGTTTACGGTAAGTCGCTGGTTTATCGATGTCGGGTAACGGTTCGTTGTCGATGTCCGTATACTTGCGAGACGTATCCGCTCCGCGCTTCCTGTCGTCTGCATTTTTGAATGATACTTTCGTTCGAAATTCGCCTTATTTCAGTTCTGTATTTACGTTTTTGCTCACCTTCCGAGATACGCGTCTGCGTATCTAATCTAATTTTAAGAAACGTTTTTAATTATTCTTCGTTCTGTCCTTATCTTTATCCATGCTCGAGTTTCTTGTCCGATCGTCAGACTAACATTTCTTCTACATTATACCCCATTTCCAAAGTAATTTGTTTGTTTATTTTTCAATATTTAATTAACGTCCTTTACGTAACATTCCTTAATTTCCGGCAATTAATATTTGAATTGGTTATTTCCAATCTGGTTTCTTTCTCGTTGTTTTCGTAGTCGACTGTGGTAGAGAGATTTAATTGATTTTATATGTAAATTACTCTTATTGTTGTTCTCTCTGCATTCGTAACTTCTGTTCCGGAAGTGATTTTTCGTTTTGCACCCCGCTTGCGGTCTTCCAGTCCGAACATATTTTCGGTATTATTCGATTTCGGTGTTGCGAATTTCGTTAATTTAATTAATATATTACGTCCTTCGATAATCAAATTTAATCCCGATTCTTCTCTCGTACGTTTCCTTCTCGCGTGTTGTATAACTAAAGAAAATTACCTCCGTATCAAATTGCGAAAAATTAGAAATATTACAAAATATTCTCCGGTTTCTTTGACTTTTACGTTTAGTTTTTGTTTTAAAAAACTGGAAATTTTATGCGATAACGACTTACACGATTGCCGGAAATTTGGATTTTACGTAAATTCTCCTTTAATTTACAGAAATAATTTACCGGAAAGAGCATTGTTTTCGTCGCGTTAAAATTCATTGGAATAATAACAAAGCCAATGATGCCAGTAATACAGAAAGTGGTTTAAGCGGGTGTGTAAAGACTTATTCTACACCGGAAAACGTAATTTGCTAGTGTCTATCTTACTGCTGTGGAGAAATTCTTCCATCAAATTCTTTTAACACTCGATAGGAAACGACGAGGTTGCCACAAGGTGTCCGTACATTCCGATAATTCGACCGAATGAAAAAGAAATTACTTGATTACAGTACTTTTTTGTTGTTAAGGTAATCTAACTTAAATTAATTATTTTTTTCCTTTTGGGCCGCAATTTAAAAACTTGTAAAACTGTAAATTCGCACTGTCGCCCGTCCGTCTGTCCTTCCTCAATGTAGAGAATAGAGTTGGGCAGATGAAATTCGAGAGCGGGTATGGAAATCGTAGGAGTGGGAAGCCCGATTAACTATATACGAAGTTCCGATGCAAACCGGAAGCGACGTTTTTTTTCAATGGGAAAAGTTTTCGCGAAATGTGTTAGATAAATGACCGGCACGAGCCTAATGTTAAAGGAAAGGTATGATGTACGGGGGCGAGCTACTACTAATTTGAGGCGGAGAGCGTATATTTTAAATTAAGTAAATTAAAAATATGATTAAAAATTGCAGCCCGGCATTGCGACCGTGTCACAATACATAATTGCTGGTCTTTTGAGTGGTATATTTAGAATTTTTTAGAACGATATTAATTCAAATATAACGGATTTATCTGAAAGAAATAAAAGTAGCGTATATCGTGTGTTTTCTTAGCCGCGTCGTCACAAATAAGTTATTTGAGAAGAAGCGTAATTGGCCGAAGAAGTTCGAACATCGTACTTCTGAAAAGTGTGATTTTCCTCGCTCCGAGTCCAGTCACGAAACACAACCTAAAATTGTGTTGAAATTTAGAAATAAATTTACAGATAAAATGGAGGGTGGAAGATAATTACCTTCGGACGACATAAATGTAAAGAAAAAGCGAAAACTGCGGAAGAGACTACCGGTTAAATGAATTCCAGTTAGCCCTATTCCAATTCGCAGAAATTCGCACTAACGAGTAAAGAGAAGAGCGGGTCGATTTCCGGAAACAACTGCATTTATATAGGCCGTATATTGTAGTCGTCGACGTTAACAGGTGATAGTTTAAAGGTTGCTTTGTTTTAATTAATTAAAAAAAATGACAAATGATTTGTAATTAAAAACGGTTAAATAGAAAAGAGCCGTACGGGGGACAGAAGGACGTTTTACGCTTATTATTTAAACTGCACACATACACAAAACTAGTAAGTTCCAACCTGGTAGGCGATATTTGTTGTGAGTATTTTCTGTTTATCCACAATTCTTTACTACTGCTTACGATCGTTGTAAAATGCTGCTCGAACATTAATACGGCCTTTTAACGCGTTTGGCAACGAAACGGCGAGTAGTCCCGGTCCGAAGACTTTATCCCCGTCGACTATTCCTAAGGAGTTGACACGGAATAGAATTAGGGTGTCGTACTTTTTTTTAACCAATTTTTATATCTTTCGATACGAGCGCGAAGACAGCCTTTTTTCCATATCGACGGTGGGTTCCGTCGGAATACAAAACGTAAAAATGCGTGCACTAAGGAGAGCTGGACGTTATCCGCTTGTCGATTTAATGTACATCTACTTATATTTTCTTACATAACCCGTACGTGGCAAGGACCGTAATATCGGACGTCGCGATACAAAATTATTGTAAGTAAATCGATGGTAAGTGCTAATAATTAATAATTTGAAAATAATTAAAACACTAAAAGAAAGGAAAAAACTGTCTTATTTAGATTTTGTATACGTAAAATGTTAGAACCAAAACACATTTAAAATTAAATATTTGGCCGGGGAAAGTGAGGCTATCCGGAATCGGTCCATCCGTTCACACGCCGTACTCGAACAGATACGCGCCAATTCAATTCAATTACATAAATAACGAAATTAGAATATGCAAATATTTATTTATTTAAAATTCGGATTATTTGAAGAGGCGTTTGGGGGTAAACGTATTCCGCGAAATATCGGCGCAAAGACGTAAAGGTTTGAAGCCGATTGGTATTTCTTCCGCCACCCGGGCGGGTGGTAATAGACGCGTAATAGGCCAACGATTGTTCTTTTTATAACTTATTCGTCGCATTCGTCCGCCGGTGGTAAACTCCGAGCTTTTTCATCTCTGGCAGGCGTCGTGCCGCGTGCGAGATGGGGGTGTTCCGGTCGAACTCCGATTAAGTTATCTTGGAGAGTCGATTTGTACGCGAATACTCGTCGGGTACAAATCTCTTGGAATACTCTACGATAGTCGTCACCGCTTAGTTAAGCGTCCTTCTTCCCGAGTCGGAGGGAGTCGAACATAATTTTTCCGTCCAGTTAAAAATTTTAAATAATATTTTAACAAATATTTCCCTAGCAACGTCCGCGGCACACTCGTCCCGGAGTTCCGCTTACCAGCGTCGAGCGCAAACTACGAATATCGTAAATGTTTCGTTATATTTTTATCAATGTTATTCGTGGCGTTTTAAAGATTATCTTTTTAAATTAACTTACAGAATAGGCCTGACCTTAAACGTTTGCCGGGAGTCATGGACGGAGTGGCTATCTCGGTGGCGAAAGCCGCCGTGTTTTTCCTAGTTGCGGGTAAGTTATTCCGTAATATGACGCGTTATAATATGGGAGATTTTCGAACGAATGGACGGGAAGTGGTCTTACGTAAAATCGAAATGTAGAAAACGGAGGACCGTCAGAAACGACGTAATTCCCGTCCGTATTTTACGATAAAACGCGGACTATACGTCGAATCACCGCATAAAAAACAAAAGACCGAGCGGTTACCGATAAATTACAAAATTGCGATAAAAACATTCGTAATTCCGAGCGACGAAGTCGAAAGTTGGGAAAAGATACGAAAACGAACATTTTTATAAAGAAAATAAAAAGTTTAATCGGCGAATTATTTAATATCGATTAAAGCGCGCTTTAAGAATTTAAGAATCTTTCTAACCAGAAGGCCACGAACTCGGTAGTTTTAATAACGACCTCTTCGGAGTGGCGCGGCGGGTTGAATTTACGCGTTACGGAGTAAAACACCCGACGTTTTGGCAATTTATCGCGCGCGAAAAGCGTCGTCCGATCAGTTAAAGTTTTGTCGAAGATGGGCGAAGCGGTCGAAACCGTTATTTGAAATTTTTACCGCGCGTAAAATGGCTCAATCGTTGGATTAGTCGAACGATTTAATAGAGTGCGGAAAGACGTAACGGGCGTAAAGTGACGCCGACGTTTTAAATACGACGTCGGACGGTTGGCAAATTTTTAAAAATTGCACCCGCTTACAATAATTTGCCGTTATTAAGGGAATATTTTAAAATAACTCGGTAATTTTTATTTTTCAGGACAATTTATTTCTGTCTGTTGCGAAGATACTCCTGGGGAAGAGTCGCCGTCCTACCAACACGTTATTCTTAACGCGCACTATCGGGACGGTTCGAGTTGGTTCGGGTTCATTCCTTGCTCGTGGTTCTGCCCCATCGCCTGCGCCATGAAGATTAATGAGATGTTGTGCACGGACTGCCAATGTTCCTCTTCGGACGAGCCCGCCACCGCAGATCCTGCGTTTTAATACCTAAGTTTACGGCGTTGGCGCGCCTATCATTTTCCTATTTCGGTTAAAACGTAAAAGCGGAAATACGAAAAATAAATATTTGTCCGGAACTCGACTTTCTATGTAATGAAAAACAAGAAATTAATAAATTCTGTCGGTTAGACGAAATTAAAATGCTTAGCCTTTATAACATTTGCATTTTACGATATAGATACGTAAAGCGATGATCTGCGATATCTTTATTCTCTTTACCTCGAAAGAGATAAAACGAGATCGATCGTCGCCTAAGGGTGCGACTACGCAGCCTCCGGCCAGCGAAAATATGTGGCGAGAAGAGGCGAGACGCGATAAATATCAAACCTGTCAGATACGCGCGAGAACCAGAAATTCGCTTACGCCAGCGAGATTTCTGGCTTCTCGCTCGCGCGTGGTTTTCTTCGCGAGAACTATATCGCTCGCTACTAAGTTAGCGTCTGCGTAGTCGCGCCCTAATACCGCAAAACGAGACGTCGAGAGATAAAACGCGAGGTGTTTCGCTTAGGGAGCAGGGCGCCAAGTCGGTCGAAGGACTGCCGAATCTGCGGCCGGATGGAAAAATGTCTTAGATAGAAAAAGGTGTTAGATAGGTGACCGGCGCGACTCTATTGTTAAAGGAAACGTATGACGTAGGGGGCGAGCCACTATTAGTTTGAAGCGGAGAACATATATTTTAAATGAAATTAATTAAAAATATGATTGTCACAATGCCGAGTTGCAATTTTTAATGTCGCAATAAATAATTACTGGTTAAAATATTTTTACATCTTATTTTGAACCAAAGACGATTTTTTCATTTAACTTTATCGTCTATCTTCTAAAGCTTTTAAGATATCGAGAAAAAACGATATTTATAATTCAAACTGTGGCGCGCAATAACTGGAAAAATATCTATCTGTCCGTGTCTGTTACAAAGAGTTTTCTGCTTATTTTGCATTAGGAATACGTAGAAAATTTTTCGTACGTACTGTATATTTTGAAACACGCTGTATAGTACTGTAATGAGAAATTTAGTCCGTAGACAGAAAAGAGAAAGTTTTTGGAAAATAATTGCCGATGGGAATACAAATTTAAATAAAAGAAAAAATAATAGTCACAAATACTACAGTTTTATTTTCATACTTAGAGTACAGTTCAATCGGAAGGCCGAGAATAGAAAATTTTATTATTTTTTAATGCGATTAAATCATTTATACATTATTGAAATTAATTATAATAAATAACTAAAATTTTCGAATATAATCGATTGAAATAAAATTATTTTCATCTTAATTAATACCAATTAACGCTGACAATATTTAGCCATAGTAGAATTTAATTTAGTAATTAAAAGTATATACGGTATTAATATTTTAAAAATTCCATACGAGAACCAGACGCGTATTATTTGTCTGGATAAGTTAGCAAAATATATCGACTGTTTAAAAACAGACAAGTACTCGGCTCGTAAATATCAGTGAATGATATATAAAATATGAATATGTCTAATCGTTTTACATTCGAGTGCTTAATTAAGTGCGTTTAAAACTTCAAGTTTTCTATAAAAATTATAAATTTTAGAAGCACGCGATTAGCACTTAATTAACACTAAACATAACTCTCACCGAGTATATAATTTGCTTATTATTTGTTGGACTGTCCGCTAACTTTTCCTTAAGCTAGCGGAATATATAATTTAAAAAAATAATCGCTTAATTTACAATTTGGTTCAAATCCATTCCGCTAACTTCCGTCGGCCAGCTTAAAAAGGATAACAAAAAGTGCGTAAAGCGAACGAAAGGTAGAAATTGAGACAGAAAGGAATAATTATCGCCACGAAAAAGGAGCCGTTATTAATCGCGGCTGGTAAAGCGCCACGAACCGGGAAATACAATTAATCCGAGGGACGTCCACACTCCGCTACCTATTTCTCTCCAAATAGTTGGTTAATTAAACCGCCAGTGTCGCTTCCGGAACGGCGGGCCACCAACTTTCGATTAATACGTTTATCCGTTGTTCCCATTTTATTGCACGAAAATAATAAAATGGAAAAATACGAAAACGAAGAACTTTCCAGTTTACCAAACTCGTTCGAAATCGGTTTTGCCAGCAAGTTTCAAAAAATTCTTAAATTCTATATAAAGTTTTGTTACAAAACAAATTTAGAGAAAAAGCCACAAAGATTACCAACCAATTCAAATGTTTTAAGACTGTTGTTTTCCGTCTCGGTGTTAATCTATTGATAAAACCCAAGGTTTGGAGTCGATGGAGATTCCTCTTTTGGCAAAATGGACGGCGTGATCCAAGGAGCGTTTTCTTGCAGTTGCGCGGATTCGCCATTTTTGTCATATTGCAAAATACAGAAATAATTTTTAAAAAAGACACTATTTCATTTTTCAGTCGCAGTCAGTCAGTCTATTAGCCAAGCCGATGTCGCTTGATTATATTACTCCGAAGTTTTGCTTATATTAAACAATGGAATTACGGATTTATCTCGTATGAAATAGTAATTTCAATTTTCTTAAAAGTAAGCGAGTTGAGGGAACATTTATTAAGCTATTTTATATCAGTTTTCGGGAAGTTTCATTTTCTTCACCTACGAAAATATGACGACAACACCCGTATCGTCATAACTATAACTATACCAAAGGTTTCTCTTTTATATGCGTAAAACTCTTTAGTATAAATAGAATCACTAAGCAGAAAAAATATGACGACAGAATCTGTAAATTTTTTTGCTACAACTTGAAATAAACCGACTTAATAACACGTTATAGATGCGCTAATTGAAAACAACGCGTTACGGTAATCCGCTCGGTGGCCACGCTTCATCATTTTACCAGCCGAAAGACTTCGGATTAAAATAGGATTTGTAACTTTCCACCAGTAATTTGACTGACTGTCGTTCTCTACCTTTCGATCCTAATATCGATTCGAATTAGACGCATAATTAGAAAACCCCATCGGCTTCGTAGTTTTCACCCACACGGTATCTCTCGTCGTTAATAACAACAAAGTATAACATTCAAAATAGAAAAATATATTTATTTTTTCGGTAATAAAATATAATATAAATCTGGTCCTTTATCTACTAATCTTGTATATACATAGTCTAAATATATATATATAATTATATACAATAAATCCACGTTAATACATGCTCGGATAAAACAAAGACGGAACTTACGAATTGCAACGAGACACATAGTACACTGAATATTTTGGTCCCGCGACACTCGATATTAGAATGCATTGCATTCTCTGGGATTTAAGTTATAGAGTTTGTGATAAAATTCGTGATACTTCAATAGATGACATAATTAAAACAGGCTTGTTAGTTACCATCTGTTATTGGAATAAAATTTATCGAAATTGCTGAAGATAAAATTTTTCAGTTTAGTTTTTTTTTATTGCACTGAAAGGTCTTATCCTTAGCGAATCGCAGTTTTGGGGGAAATTATTAGTAACATCAATATATATTCAAAATGCCGGTTGTCGTTACTCGAAGCTCCTTCTTTCTTCCGTTTCAACAATGACTTTCGGTGAAATTTGCGTACAGTTCTCTAACGAAACTGAATTTTTACTTTTTTGACCAATCGCCCTCTGTTACATATAACAGAGGGCGATTGGTCAAAAAATGAATTCCCCGAAATTTTTATATTTTCAGACTCAGAACCTCGAAACGTCGAGAAATTCAAAAATTTGGAACTTTTTCTTGTATGTTTGGGTGTTAGTGTGTGGAAGGCACGATTTTATTTACTCAATTTGTAGCTTAATAACTTGGCCTTTTACCAAATATTTTGAAATTTTAAAGAAAACTGTATATTAGGGACAATAATGCTATTAAAGTTTTGGTGGTTAAAGGTCGAGAGAATGCGGAAAAGGAGGGGAGTTACTTGTCATATCTCCGGGTGGGGTTAAATTAATGAAGATTTACTTTTCATTAACATTTACAATTTGTTTTTTAAATAAACTCATCTCTACCCCAAAATTAAGCTTTTGTCATTTTATAATAATAACATTAAAAGTTTTTCAAACAAAATCTAATAACAGATGGCACCACGCAAAATTATAAAATTTGGCTGGGAAAGTTAAGCAAATCTTTTCTGGATTTTTAAGATTTCAATTCGGATCTTTGTTACAAAGATGGAAATAAAATCTTGGAGACTAAATATGTACTGTACTTATCAATTGTTTCGAATATTCAATTATTTTCAGAAGCTTAAACTTCCACCACAATTTGTTTGGCGAAATTCCTACGATGACGGACAATTTTGGTAACTTTAATTTGGCAGTCGTTATTTGTATTTATTGTAAAATCTTTGTTTACGATGGGTCGAACGAATGCGACAAAAGTAAATATTAAGGATAGATGAAACGTATCAACTGGAACAGCTTCCGTTAATGACGCTTACTGTTGATGTGGAAGAAATATTTCGAAACAACATACGAAACAGACAGTTCTACAGATTATAAATTTCTTCAATTAAAATAACGCATTCTGTTGGATATTGTTTAAAGTTTCATCTGTACATAAAACTCTTAGATATAAATTCTTCGTGTTCCAAAAATTCTTGAGATGGTAATTATGGTACAAAAGCAGTTGTAAAAAATAGCAGCGTACGTGTCATTTAATTAAACCGTTAAAATTTTTCTTCATTTGTTGGCCAAGACTTTTTCCCCGAGATTTCTACTTTCGATAATTCTTTCTCCGTTACTGTTTATTGAAATACGTTAAAATTAAAATTAAGACATAAAATAATTACTAATTTGTAAGATAGCTTACCTGTTTTGTCATCCTTCTCCTTACTGGTTTTTAAGTTCTTTAACAATCCGTAATATATAATTGCATATAATACTCCCAATATGGCGGAAGCCACTCCCATAGATCGGAAAGCAATTCGATTACGAAATGCGCTTATTAAATTTCCACCAATCAGACTTCCCGACCCTCTCCCTATAACGTATAAAAATTGTTTAGTGCAATTCCTTAATAATGTAGGTATATTGGAAAATTTCCATACGTACCGATCCCGAAATGCATTCCTGCCACGCAACCTTGGATGGTGGCCAAAAGGCCTTTCGGTGCTAGGCCAGCGGCATAAGTCGCGGCTGCCACCCACATTAGATGATACGTGGATGCTTCCATGGCTTCGAATAACACAAACCACCAAGGATTGTGAATATAGGAATATCCGATGCAACGAACGGAGTAGAAAAAGAAAGCCACTATCAGTAAGTTGACTCGACCGAATTTCCGGACGAAGAAATCCGAGGTGTAAAGGAATGGCAGACCCACGATAGCGCCTACGGTCAGAGTCAGACCCAGAAGGTACTTCGGACTTCCGAGATCCAGAAGATGCCAAAACAGAAATGATTCCAGAAAACCCCAAAACGTGCCGAGAAAGAAAATTACTATCAGAAAAACGACGACTTCCGGCATAACGATGAGATTTTTGATATTTTTAACGATGTTTTTGGCCGGAGGAGCCACGGGCAGATTGAGAATATACACTAGGACCATGTTGCATATTATTAGGCAATCGAAAACGTAAAAGGCGGGAGAGTAATCCGTGCGTCCGTTATAAGCAGAAACCACGTCGACTAGAAATCCAGTGAAAGGAGAAAAAATGGCGGTGGCCAAAATGGCCCAAACACGCTGGCGTCCGTAGTCGTCTTTGTGCTCTTTGACCATGGCCAGAGTGGTCGCCTCCGTCAGAGAAAAACAGATGGCCACGAACACTTGAAAACACATAAATACGGTGAACGCCGAGGCTAAAGTGGGAAGCCTCTGTCCCCACGTTATTTCGCAGCCTTTTCCATTGACGTCGAACGTTTTAACGCGACAGAACGGCGGACAATCTTCCGTGACGTTTTCTATCGCGCACCTGGAAAGGGGAATGGTTTGATTATTGTCGTCGATGCTTTGTACGGTGTACGAACAGGACACGTTTGTCACTTCGGAATCGATGGACACGTTCAATTTTACGGAAGGAGTTTCTTTATTGTCTCTTCTTAGGTCGATGCAATAAGGGTTTCCGCTTCTTTCGAAACACAGAGTTTCCATGGATTTCGTAGCCAGATGACATTTCGAGCCGCAAAACTCCACCCGAATGTCTATCGAACGATTTTGACCGGAACACGGTTCTTCCATCGTCAACCGCGGTTTTTCCCAATTTTCGCAATCCAGACGACCTTTACTCTGGCACGTCGATCGAGGAATGGCAGGAATGAAGAGGAAACTGGTGGCGAAGACCACATTACAGGCAAGGGCCACGTACAAAACTGGTTTGTATCTTCCCAGTTTATCCGCTATCAACCCTCCGACGGCCGGTCCGAGAAGTTTAGCGATTGGAAAGAACGTGTATATAAAAGCAATTTCGCTAGCGGTGATGCCTAATTGCTTCAAGTAAATCGTCATGTAAGGTAAGAGACTGGAAAATGCTGAAAAAAGAAATAAATTTTACATGTATTTTTAACGTTATTTATTCATTTTCTAGAATAAAAAAGCATGTTACAGTTTCAGAACAAATAGGATATATTGTCCTTTTTAACAATTAAAATTTCTTGCTTTATGTATATTTGCAAAATATATTACTTTTATATACACAATATATACATACATACACATTAGTATTTATACGTACCGTACATAAATTGTATACAGTGTATGTATTTATAGCGTATATACAACTTATACATACACACACAATTTCGCATTTATAGAGTAAATGACGCTAAGCAACTATCGCTAATTGCTATTAACTTATACAGATGTTTTACATTTGTGAAAAGAGCAAAGTCGGCGCTCAATTTTTTCGTAGAATCGAAGAATTGTCGAGAAAGTGACACGTCGAAATTTACCTTTCTCGTCACTACAGGCGAAAGTAGACGCCCTTCTCGATACTCGCTCAGTCTGGAATTCACGGAGTAATACGAATAACCAGAGGCGAAATAAACAATTTAGACGAATTGACCTAACTAAATATTTGATAGTACGGACTTCCTCATAGTCGACAAATCGTCCTTTATCAAAACTAAAAAAGAAACGATTACAAACTTCAATAAATTGACTGGAACAAAACTAGATGCTGAAAGAAGTAAAATCATTAATATAAAGCCAACCTAATTGACCAAACTGTCGTCGATCGAGTCAAAACATTTGGAAACTCAAAACACGACTACAACTAAATCATAAACAATCAAACAATTCCGCCAAGTGAAAAAGTCACCGACTTTTTCAACCCAATCCAAATCCAAACAAAAACATCCGAGATGTAAAAAGTTGCGCCAAGTAAAAAATTGGGAGTTTTTCAAGTTTTTTAAAGTTATCGATCAACCAATCGGAGACGAATAAATTTTCCATATTTGCCTATATTCGGTGGGTCTAAGAGAAAAATGTCTTCCGCCGCCAGAAATCGGAATTCGAATCCTACGCGGAGGAAGCTCTTTCCCCAATAGTCGGACCGAGAGGACGGTAACGAACGACCCACGAGATATCCCGAGATAAATTCGCGTAATTTTAAGAATGTCGCGCGGAAACAATATTTAAATAACAAAAATATCGTCCGTACAAGGGGATAAAAATTGTAAGTACGACCCGCGTATCTTTTACGCTTCTATATACACGGAGTTTAAAGACGAGGTCGCGTTTGCGGATAAACTCTGTAATAAGACGGAGAGAGCGATAATGGATAATTCCGAGTCGAAGGTCGTTCTGGGAAGAAGAATGGAAATAATAATTGTCGTAAGGTCCGGTTTGGCCAGGCATTTCGTGGGTCAATATTCTCCAATGGAATTAACCCAACGTACTTTACAAATTATATAACAAATTTATAGAATAAGGCCGAATGGGAACGTACAATTATCGTTTAACGGCAGTTTTCGTTCCAGAAAATATTATTTCCCTTCTTACTTCTTACTCTAGAATTAATATTCTATCAATATATAGGCTACTTTTTCTCTGTCGAGGTTTGTAAGTTTCGGACCAACTTATTTTTACCAAATTCCCTTCTTAAATTAATCTTCTAATGCAAAAATTCTACCGGATATTTAATTGAATTCGTAATTCCTATAATGGATGCGGAACGAGTAAGAAGGACGTTTTAAAAAAGAATCAAGAATGCGGTAATCATTCCAACCAAATACGTGGAAAACTGGCGTCTTTCGTGTACGGTGTTCGCTTGCGATAGAAAAAAACATTAAAAGAAAAATACCAATAAAAAATCCAGCAACCAGTCCCTTAACTTTCCCGATAACGTTTAAAACGCCATCGGTAACCATATTTTATTATTAAAAACTTTTTATATTTTTAATGCTAATAACCGGTAAAATCACCATTAAGTCCTATCCCACTCGAGACACGACTTCGTTCTCCCCATCCCGTCGACCTTCGACCACCAAAATTTAATAGCGCCATCCCTTTAATAAACAAAGCCGCCGGCAAAATTTCAGAAATTTTCTACTAAAAGCAAGGGAGTTATTAGGCTCGAAAGAGAGCGAACAAAGTCGTGTCCCCGCACAATAACGTCCATACGTACAGAAAAAAATGGCCGAAAGTTTTTGCACTTCTCGAGGATCGATCGAGTCCAAAAATGAGAAATCTCGAGGGACATTTGTCGACCGATGGCCACGTTATCCCTCTGTTATATATAACAGAGCCGGGAAAGTAAAAACGAAGTCTTTACCGAACTCAAGGGATGGTCCCGTAATTACGTACCGAACGATTCGGTGATTACTTCGAATGTGGAGAAATAAGTCGATTGTCGTCCATTATTTAAGACATTTCGTTGGCGGTTTAAGATTTGTCCGGTAATAAACACCAGGTAAGACGCGTGTCTCCTCGAAACGAGTGAGTCTAAAACGATAGAAAGTAATACTAAAGTATAATTTGGTTATTTAATTTCGTAATTACGACGTATTTTATTGTTGGAAATTGGTACATTGTATCTTATTGCCTTCGGTAGTGGAGTTTCGTCTGTTTTCGAATGGGGTCGACGTTTACCTTAACTCGGACTAATTCCTTTTATCCAGATGCGACTTTTTACCCGGGAAGAAGCCGGTCGCGGCCTTAATGGCGAGATACGAATCTCCTGACATTTTTTGTCGCCGAATCGGGTGCCCGCGACGATTCGCAACTCGAAGGTTATCCGGTTACGTGGCGGTTAACCTTGGCATCCCGAGGTCGTCGCTTCGTCCGCTAGATACGAACGCATCCGTCCGTGGACGTCTGTATTTTCCTCGGTTGGTTTATCGAAAAGATTGAATAAATCGAGTGACGCCGGTTGTACAGGGACGAGGTCACCTTCCCCGCCCCGACTCGTTATCTCTTAAATCTTTAGCGCCAACGTCGGGCGGACAAACCTCAGTTTAAATTTGAAAAATTCCCTCGGACCCGCTTTGTTACGTAAACCGTGTAGAGTTACATACGAAGAATAACTGTCCAAATAAATAGGGTTATCTAACAGGCACACGCCCGTTTGCACTTACATAAACATATATATAATCAACTGTATATATATAGGCTAATCATCATCTTTGGTTTATATGTAGGCCTATATAAACATAAAAGAACCCCGGTTATTCGAGTCGACGTGGACCGACGGTACCTCGATTGCGCTTTATTACTAGATTTTATAAATGTATAAACCCATTTATACATTTTATATAAAATATAAAATTTCTCGCGGTGATTAGCCGCAGTTAGTATCTCGTCGTATATTTACCGTTTTATATTTTATAATTTTGGGATTTTTATAAATAGATAAAATGCGATTTTAAAACTTTTTTCTTTGGTTTTAAATCAGCCTAAGTAATTTTAATTTTGTGCCGATTTTCCTTATATCCGTTGCTAGGGAAAAACTGTAATATTAGTATTATTTCTTCTAGCAACGGATTTAACATTTTATGTATTGGATAATTTCCATAAAATAATTGTTCGAATTAAATTAATAAAAATTCGTGTCGTTGCCTTAATAAATTTAAAAACGGACGGAAGAGAAACCATCGTTGGGAATGTAAGGGGAAAAAATTCTATCGAAATATATTTTGGAATATATTAGAATAACGCGTATATTATATATATATATATATATATCCTATATAAATGAGGATGTTTGCTTGTTTGTTCGCTATGCACTCATAGTCCGTTCGACCAGTTGCTACGAAACTCGGAAGTTACGTTCGATTGTTTTTAACTTAGATAACGTCGTAGATCCTACCCGAAAATATTGATTGAATTTCTATATATCAATTAATTTTTGTCTACATTCGATTCGCTGGCTTTACGTGTAACGCATCTGATGGCAAAAAATTTAAGAAAATAATAAACTATATGTTATACTTACAAAATATATATATATATTATATTCACTTAATTATTGAGACAATAATATAGCATAAAATAGAGGCGCTATTACGCGTCATTGCCACGGGTAACACATAGCACTCGCCTACGTTTAGTGTTTTGCCCCTGTACGTCATACTTCTCCCGTTAGCGACACAATCGCGCCGGTTATGTATCTGACTTCGTTGAAGGAAACATTTTTGAATCGAAATAGAATGATTTCTGGCGCAAATCGAGTGTTCGTGTACGCAGTTAATCTGGGTCTCCTACTCTTAAGCATTCCGTATCTATAACATACACATTGTTCCAAAATGTTCAAAGAATTTAGACAAATCTTCTATTTTAATTACTAATCAGTAGCGCATTCGGGGAAGTGACCGGGGGACTCTGGCACCTGGCAAACTAAAAGGAAAAGAAACATTAATAAATTTAAAAAATATTGTTTCTTAATTAAAATTCGTTTTTTCATTTATATTGTGTCGCGCGTTCTATTTCTTACGAATAAGTGGTGACGTAAGGTGGGAATTGTATTGAATTCGCATTAAAAATGTTTTTATTCGTTCAACTGGGTTCCCCAGAGATTAAATTTCGTGCGCGCCACTGTTGCTAATCATTATATAAAAGAAGTTTCTTAACTAAAATAACAAAAGATTAACGGGCTTACACGTACGAGGTAGAATGATAAATTGGACGAAACGAAAAGTCGCTAATACTGTGTTATATTAAGTTGTAAAGATAAAATTATTGCTTTAAAAATATTTTATATGTACTGTACGAGGCTAGCTTATTTTAATTTAAAAATACTGTAAAGTCGACGTCGTATTTAGGCATATAAATGTCTTTTTCGTCCACTAAATAACACAATATTTCGTTTAACGAGGAGAAATACAACCACGCGCGTAGGAACAGAAATAATTCAGAAATACAAAATATGTATTATAAGGTAATTAATTATACCTTAAGACAAATTTACTTCCCGGTCGATTACAATACGTGCCAAATCTGTTTACAGAGTCACGTTTATTAAAGATACAACGAATGAAAAACAATCATTTTGTTTTGAATATTTATATTTTCCACGTCATTCATCCGACCGTTTTCGATATTTATGTGGATTTCGAGGATTTTTTCGTCGTAAGCCCGTAAGCGAGTAACTCGATAAATTCTGTTATCGCCCAATAAGAATAAAACTTTTTTCCTTAGGGAATGTTCTTTGTATAATAGAATAATAGACGAGTTTACTACAAAGACTGAACTTTTCGGATCGTATGTCACGAAGAACGAATCCGATAAAAATTAAGACTACGTTCACCACGCCGAAAGTATTCACTTAAAAACGAGATCATCACCGTCGATAGGCGTTGAAAGGTTTTATTACTTATCATCGCAAGCATTTTCGGCATTTTATAAATATCATCTTTGGGCGAAGAAGAGGAAAACGTCATCTCCTCTAAAAATTTAAATAGAAACGTTCATCATTCGAAAATGTCTTACAAATACGAATGTCTTAAAAATCTCAGTTACATTAAAACGAACTTAAACGCGAGAATAGCACGCGCACGAATAAAATATCAGCGGGGAGGAAAAGAAACTAATAAGTATTATCATAAATGTAAATTTCTGAAAAGTGATACCCAAATTCCTAAGAGTTCTAGCGTGGATGTGTTACACGGTCCTAGTTTTTCAATAAGTAAAGCCTCGAAACGAAAGTAAGTTTACTGTCCACACACCGAACGAGAAGCGAAGTCTCATTCCATACAGATACTGTACTATACAGTACTGTACAGCACTGTACATAATTTTGTTCCGCCGCACTCCTCGAAAGTTCTGTAGAGTACTTGTGGCCGATATCGTTCCGGTGTTGGATTTGTCATTTTTTCGTCGTGGCCCCAACGTAAAAAAGATTTGCGTCGATATTCGGTGGTGGTAACGGAAGGAAATAAACCCCGGTTTTTCACGCGTGGATAATTCATCTCCGTCGTTGCAGAGAAGTTAAGGTTAAGGTTATTCGAGATTTAATCGGGAAATTAAGCAGTTTTTAACATCTCTGGCAATGCGTAGTGAGATGGGCCCCGGGTACGGAATGGATGGGGATAAATATAAATGTTAGCTCCTCTTTCTTTGTAATTAACGCTGTAGGCGGGAAGAACGACGCGTGTACCCGGCTATTGACATATTTAAATTTTGCAGGCGTATATCCGGCTTTCCTGGTTGGTTTTTTAAAAGAATCCGATCGTAGGTAGGTTTCTTCTTTATCTAACATAAATGGTGAGACCGTATTTAGCCCGTATTCGGATATTAACGGTGTGCTAATTTGGTACAAGGTGACATCGGCGCTTTTAAGGGAAAAGTTTTCTTTTCTGATATTTTTATTAATTAGTACACGAAATAATTTTAAAAGTTTATTTAAGGAAAAATAAATAAAACGGAAACCAGAAAAGAAGTGGAGCGAATCGGTAATGTAATAACGAGTAAGCGGAAAAATAGATTTCGAATTTCGATAGACGAAGCAACGAATCGAACCGAAGAGAAAGCATTCGAATTAATTATCAAATGGTCATTGTTGTTCAAATTAAGTAGTATTAATACAAAAATAATTTAGAAATATTCCCGAGGTTTATTTCATTTCTTTTTTGACCAAGCTATTTTTTTCAATCTTTTTCGTTTTTTCCAAATTCATCTTAAATACAAAAGATCGTATTAAACTAGACTTCGGGGAAAATAACGGGATAGACGGGCCAATTCCAATACTGAATGTGTCGGTCCGCATATATTATTCGTTGCTCGAAAATCAATGGCATCGGGCTAAGATGAGAGTTTCGGAGGTTTACGAAACCCGCGTAAGGGAATGGAGAAAGAGGTATTGCGGAAAGGCGAGTAAGAGTCCCTTTTGATCCCGGGTCTCGAAAGATCCGAAGCGGATGACGTCGACTACCAAAAGTTATTTTGTCCAGGAACGGTTTTACCTTAAAAGAATCTAGAACGAAATTCAAAATTTGAATCTAACGCTAATATTTTCTTGGTTGAAATTCTTTATTTCGCGAAAACACAAATCGGAAAGAATGCTAAAACTTTCTGAAAAAAAAAATAAATAAACAAAGATAAAGCGGTCAAATTTTCCTGACCGGAAGTGCGTTTCTTTCGGAACGTGGGGTTCTTAAAGTTTTCCTCCATACGCACCCTGGCGTTTTAAAACTTCGTTCTGGAATTCCCTCGAAAAATGTGTGGAGAAATTTTTTTAATAAGGTAGGGTTATCTTATTTTCTCATTTATATTTGGTCTAACTTTAATTAGACCTTAGTGACGAAGAAAAATTTATCCGCGCTCATTCGCAAGAGTTAAAACATTATAACCCGGGTTAGAGATTTACGAGAGAAGAAATACATAATTATACACGTAAATTTGATGTCGGTACTCTATAATTAATGTCGTATTTTAAATAAAGACCGAGTTGTCGATAAAAACGGTTTTAGAAAGTTCGACGAAAGAAAAATTTTATGGTCTGAGCTTCGGAGCAATTCGTCAAACTTTAAAGCTTAATCGCACCCTGGGAAATAATTTGCACGAAATTCGCCGATTTGCCTGCGGTAAATGTCCACGGGACGGAGTTACATTCGACAGAACTTTATACTCGTCGACGTTTTTATAAAGTTCCGTCGTATTTCGTAGTCGAGTATAATAAAGACGAGAACGTTTCACCTACCTCCGTACCAACAAAACAGAACGACTTTTAAAGGCACCAACTCTTTCTTTACGGAGGGAGCGATGCAAATCACCTTCCAACTTCGCCTTTGTGGTGAAACCCGTTCTTTCTGAAAATACGAAAAAGTCATTTTCTAAAAACAATTGTTAACCCGTCCGTATCTAGGTTTTATGGTAAAATTGCCCCGATACAAAAGTCGACCGACGACGTAAGATCTGGATAAAGGAGTAAACGCTAAGTTTATAGACTTAGGCGCGATTCGTTTGGCCGGGGAATTAAAAATTCGAAATACGCTTTAGACAATTATAAAACGCGCAATTTGTACATCTTTTCTGTTAATATATAAAGTGTGAAAATACGTCACTTGTCGGTAACACCCGGAGATCTTTAAAATTGCGTGGGTTCTAATAGCTTTCGACATTAATTTTAACTTTTGGTGGCAATCTTTTCCATTTAATTTCCACTTAGTTAAAGCCGCCACTCGCCGGGCCGGGCGCAAACAGCCGGCCGAGGCAAATACCTCCGGGAGGACTTTCTTCGAGAAGCCCACCCCTATCGGGGCGTTAGAGGCGGGAACCGCGAAACTTCACCCGGCCAAACCTCGGTGGCCGCGTCGTTCGTCGGTCACCGTTTAGTTACGACTCGAATCCGGAAAACCCCGCGCGTCGTGCAAAGAAAAAACGACGTATTCTAAAATTTAACGGAATCACTGGGGTCGACCATGCGCGGCGACTGGTCTGTCGTCCGACGTTTAGGCGTGGCATCGTAGTACCGTGTCTGCTTTTTTTACGCGAAAAACGTTCTTCTACGCGATTCGACCGTTCTGTAAAATACTAACTTACGCGAGATGGTGAAGTCGACCGCGGAATTTCGATTCGATCGTTATTGAGTATAATCCACGTTTCGGGTCACGTTAGCTCCTTTCACGTATTTGAAAATAGAACTGTTAATTTTAGAACTCTTTACGCATCGATTCAAACGGTCTTTTTATTTTTATAGAATACGGCGTTTATAAAACTGCGAGTTTTTGTCTCGGTAAGTTTAACTTCCGTATCGTCAAAACGTTTAAAAATCCACCGTAATTTATTTTAGCCTAAATTTTAAACACTTTTATTTTAAAAATTGCGGTGCCTGACAAAATTCTTATTAAATCGAAAGAGTTTCGTCGGTCCGAAAAGGTGGGGAACACCGGCATCAAATTTTATTATAGAGTTAGAACCTAATGGCCGAAAGAAAGGGGATCGCCGAATTAATCGGTGGCAAATCCGTTCCCGCGCTCCTAATACAAAACCCAGCAGTTTACGGATAATGCGTTTGTCACTTACCCGCTTTTCGGGAGGCGCGGGGCCACTGGCCGATTCCGTCACGCGGCAACGTCCCTCGTTTTCGGCTTTCATTTCCATTCCTGAAAAAATTGTAGGAATTAACGGTCATTTCACCCATTCGCGCCACGTGACTGGCGCGGACGAATACAGAATATTTCATTTAGGTGCGGAAAATAAATTACGTAAGCGCGACGTCCGGCAGATACGTAAATTTTTAAATAGAATTGCCACAAAATACGAAAAAATCTGCCGATAAGCGCGTCGAAATTTTATTGTAGAAAAAGTAGCCAATATATTCTTAAATGACGGTGGAACCGAGAATTTCGTTTACGGAAAATAATGGCCGGGGAAACACTAGAAGCGCGTAAAATAAAACTTACGGTCCTGGTGGCCCGTTTTTAATCGGTCGTTTCTTTTAGTTTAGTATCCTAAACGGGAGAAAATCCCGTTTAATTATTGTAGAACTTAACGTAACGCGTAATTAATTTCCTTTTCCCACGTCCGATCGGACACGGAGGAGCGAAACGAGTCTTCCTTCCCGTCGGTCCTCGAGGGAAAATATCCAAAACGATTTAATTCATTGATAAACGTGTTATTGGTATAAACATTTATATAAAAATTAATTACTTTACAAACGAAATAAATCTTATTTTTTCTCTTAATCTAATCTCGGTCGAGCCGAGAATAAACAGAAATTCGTTTTCCGACATTTCTCGTTTATTAATTTGAATTAGAAATATTTCTTCAAAGATACATTTCCGTCCACAATTTGCGTCGTCCGTTCCCCTCGCACAAAAGGAGAAATATTCCATTCGACTTCCGCTAAACTAATTACGTAGACGTACGAAAATCCACGGAAACGTGGAAACGGGACTCCCGTCTCAGGTCGAGACTCCACTAGCGTAAAAACCCTGGCCCTATATACTTTTAATCGCCTGACCGTAATATTTCACGCCGGAGTCAGTCGAGCGGTGTTCGACTTGTGACTGGAAAACGTCGACCGATCGGAAGTCGGCAGAACCTACGTCACCGTAATCAGGTGCGAAAATCGGCGGGAAACGAGCTTTCGCGTAAGTATTCTCGTGGCTACTTAGAAAAGACCGAGAATAGACGTGGAACGGTTTCTGGAAAACATCCGAAAGTATCCAAGTATCTACGACGAGAGGTATCCCGATTATAAGAATGGATGTCTAAAACAAGCGATACGGACGGACGGTGGTAGAAAAATCCTTCAATTTACATGAGTATATAATAATAAAGCTAAGCGTATAAGCGCGGTATAGTATCTTAATAATACGATAATAAAAGTTAATATGTGAAAGTAAAGATATTATTTTTACTACATCTGTAATGATGGTACAGAAAAAACTCGTAGAATATGATCGTTGTCTTTATATCGAAAGGCGACGTATACGACCGTAACTCCGGACCTCCGCCCACATCCGAGCCCAAAGGCGAATAGGTCAGGCGATTAGAAGTATTTACGGCCGGGGTTTTTACGCTAGTGGAGTGTCGGAAAAGTACGCGTATCAATCCGCTCCATTTGGTTTTACGAAATAATAATCCGTTCGGTAATACCAGTCGATAATTATTTTTTAAAGATTTTTCTGTAAATCTAGCTCATCCGAGACTTATATTCTAGTAAGAGGGTCTTACGGCAGGGATTTAAGGACAAGGTTTAAACATTAATTATCCCGGTTAAGTAATTAAAAAGCCGAGAAGGAAAGACGTGGCAAAGACCCGAATAAAGTCTACTTTGCCATTGTATTTTTGTCTCCGGTACTCGATGGTGACTTTTTGCCTCGACCGGCAGTTTATCGACCTAAATATTTTATTTACGTTAACGTCGCGCCGGGCCGCCGTACTTCTCCCGAGAAACCGGTCGGTAGATTTCGTACTTGGTCCGGTGTGACGTAACGAATAAACTTAACTAGGAACGCGAGTAAACGCGTAATTTTAATAGTTAGGAAAGTGCGACGGCCGTCGGGAAATGGAAAAAATTCGTCGGGGGGAATAGGGAGAAGCCATTCTTTAGGAAAGCGCCGAGCGAAAGGAAGTTGCCGGTCCCGGCCCTTTCCGACGACTCCGACTATTTCGGGCCAACGTCGCGGTGGGAGGGAAATTCACTTCCGGAAATGGTTGGCAAAACTACTCCCGTCCAACCGGTCAATCGGCGAGCGGTAACTGTGAGTCCCGATCGCGATCTTCTTATTCGTTAGTAGCTTCTATCTTCGACGAAAATCCCTTTTTACGAAATTTTACGGAAGCTCGGCGTCAAATAACCGTTGGTTTTCCGTCGAATTTCCCAACAGCGGAATTAAATGTCGGCCCGTTTCGCCTCTTTACGGGTTTATTAAACGCTTAATTACGAGATCTTTCCACTCGAGCGAGGAGACGATAATTCCCGCCGCCTCCGGAGCCGTAACCGGATAATAAACGCGCTGCCGAAACAAGAATTACCGCATTCTTCTCGTAACGTCGAGCAAAAATCACCGGAAAGAGTCGTCGGGAGACGTTTCGGCCTTTGTTTAGGAAAAGAGAATCGGGCGGAAAACCCCAACGGGATATTTTCTGCCGCCGTTCCGAGAAAACGGACGGGATTAAACCCTTTCTCTCTACCCGGCCCTTTCCCGGAAGTCCAAACCGGGACTCTCCCCTCCGTCTACGTAAACCGCTTAAATCATTTTTCCCGGCAATGCGGAAGCGCCCTTCCGATGACGGTGAAAAATTAACCGGCTTTTTCCTCCCGCCCAAGAGTTTACGCTACGGCCTTCCGACGGACAAAAAAACAATTTTTAGGCGGGCGCGCGCGCACCGTCTGCCCGTCCCTCCTTCCGGCCCGTAATTTACCGGAGAAATATTCCCGGTAAATTACGGAGGGACGAAGTCTCCGTTTTTTCTGACGAAAAATTAAGCCTTTTGCCGGCAAGAACCAACCTTTGCTATTTGCCCGGGTAAAAACGTTTGCCAGCACCCGAAATAGTTGGTGGGTTTCACTCCGACGACAAAAGGGATGCGTTAACGGCCGGTAAGAAAGAATAAAACTATAGAAACGAATGACGATTGGCAAATTCTAAAAATTTGGAAGAAAGGGTCCGATTCGACTCTTTTTTTCTAAACTGTACAGTACTTTCGGTTGGAAGCGAAACGTCCCGGACTCGGAGCCGTTTCCAATATCCTTACTTCCGTCCGGTATTAATTAGTTTCTTTTAAAGCCCATCTCCGGGCGATTTGGGCGGATTAATCGTCTACGAAATTAGAGAAGTGGTCGGTAACGACAGCCGACCGATCCCATTCGAGTCTTCTCCCTCGTTTAACTGTGGAATCCGACGTCAGTGGAATCGTGCTCGACGTTCCAAACGCCATTGTCAAACTTCTAGGCTTGCAGGAAGGCCGAGCTGAACGTCCGACGTTCACGTTTTCGCCATGAAAATGTCGGCCGCAACCTCAGTTTTATTTATTTAATATTAACTTCCGTTAAAGGCGCCCGTTTCGCTTTTCTCGTTCTTCCGCCTCCCGGGAGAACGGTGCGTCTGGGTAGGCGGGCTTCCCGCTCCGTATTTGACGGGAGAAAAAGGCCATTCGCCAGGCCCGGGTTCGGGCGTTTTACCACCGCCCGGGCCGGTCCAATACGTAAGCCAAAGGGACGAAACCGGTCCCGTTCCGGACGATTTTCCCGGACGGAAATGCGCGTCCGAAAGAAAGCGTCCGGGTTGGTTCCCACCCGCCGGTGGCCGAAAGGAAAAAAACAGAAAACCGTCCCATACTTCCGGTTTTGGCTTCCGACGGCGCCTGCCGGCAAAGGGCGAAACGTTAAAAGACGGGATCAAAACAGCCCGGGTCCGGAAACGAAAGTATTTCCGTCGGACCGACCGAGTAAAAAACGAGATTATTTCCGCTTTTCTTCCGGGATATTTTTACGGCGCCGAGTGGGTGGCCGGTCTCCACCCGTTCCGGAAGAAAAGAATAAAAATAATATTCCGTTTCGGCGGGTTAAAGGGGGCCCCGGCCCGTTCCAAGAGGCAATTCCCCAGAATTTTTATCCCAAATGAAAAATTTCCGCGGAAACGGACACCGGATGGAGATTCGGCTCCGGCCACTCCGGGAAGGAGACGGGCCGTCCACCCCGACCGTTACTTTTAAAAAGGCGAGGGAAGCCCGAGGCCTTACCTGGATATCGCCGCACCTCCGGATTCGACGTCTGAGACGGTGGCCGCCGAAGCGCCTCCGCTCGGCCGGAAACGTCTTCTGCGCCGATTCGGGACGGACCGACCGCAGCGCCTCTAGCGGAATAATCCGTGCGGAGGCGAGGGGCGACCGGCGAGAAGGCAAAATTAGGGAAGAAGCCGGTTCCGTGGCCGAGAATAAACCGTGCTGGGAGAGGGGAAAACTACCGCCGGAACTAGGCCCGTTGGCTGCCGTTTCGGCGTAAAGGTAAGCGACGGTAGTCTACCTTTACCTGGCCAACGTATTGTACCATACCGGGCTCCTCCTTTTATCCCCCGTACATACGAATCTGAACAAACCTATATTTTCGTCTATTTAAATCCAAATTTTTATTTATAAAAATATATTTATTATTTTCTACTTCCAACCCTTCTATTTTATTAAATTATAGTATTTGACTTATATAACTACAAAGGTTATGTTACGTAAGGATTTATCCCACCGAGTGACCAATCTATCGCATTTTAAAATTCTTTAAATTGTGTACAGCGGAGGAATAAATAATGTTTAAATTGTGTTAGATCGGTCACTCGGTGTGAAAAACCCTTAGGTAAGATAACCTTTGTAGTTATATAAATCAAATAGACTATAATATAACAAACATTAAAACAAAAACCGAATAAAGAGTTTGGTTATATCAGCCTACCGTTGTCGCGTTTATAGCCATACTCGGATATCATTGATTAGGTAGACAGGAATTTAAAATAAATATTAAATTTTTCGGATATCGTAATACTTTGTAATGTTAATTCTAAGAAACTGTGCCATTCCCAGCGGATTACCGTTTGATATTCTCAAACGGTAATCTGCTAACCAATCAAATTTGACGAAAAATGGACCAAATATTTAAACTCGACACCCTCGAAAACCGTTTAAAACATATTTTGTGCGGCTGGTAACGTCGTATTATGTAATTTTCCTATACGAATGCCACCATACCGCTGGTGCGATAGAAAGAAGGGATGTTGCGGAAGGGGTTCGAAGTAATTCGCCCAAAAGGAGTAGTCGACCTTCTCCCGGAAGAGAGGATGGTCAACGATTACTACTTAATACCGGTCTACTATTAATATTTGGAAAGTGATCCGTATTAGGAACATCGGTCATTTGCCGGGCTATCGGGTTGCGATAGCCACGTACCGTACGTGATCGAAGTTTCTAACATAAACATCCGAAACTTGTTTAAATAAAAATGCCTATAAAAGTGCGAGAGTAATTTCTTCTTTGCGATAATAGAGTTTAAATTTTGGCAACAGATTGTATAAACTACGTGGGAAATATGTAATCGTAAATATAGAAAAATTATTGGGTTGCAATTTGAAAAATTTGTAGACAAACTATCCTCGCTGTCTGTCTGTCTGCCTGGTTCCTTAATTTCGAGAACGAGTAAGATAGATAAAGGTTGAGAGCGGGTATAGAAACCGTAAGACAGTAGGCGCGGATTAATTATAAGGCAACTTCCGGTTTGGAACAAAGGTAATTTTACTTCCATTCAAAATGTTCCCTCCAATGGAGTTAGATAGATGACCGACACGACTCTATTGCTAACAGGAATGGTATGATGAACAGGAACGGGGGCGAGACACCACTAAAAGAGTTGAGAACATTGTGACGAAAAGTTGCAGACCGGCATTGTAACGATGACGCAATAAATAATCTCTGGTTAGAATTAGTTTGGTTTATTTAGTTGCGGCGAGGCGACACGTGAGCGATCTGTCAAGGAGGATGCTTCCCGGGAAGACTTTCGTGTAAAGCTGGCTCCTATTTAGGTGTTACTAACGTGAAGAAAACCTGGAAAACTTCGCGTGGCCCGTTCGTGGCATGGCCAACGAACCGGCCACGCGAAGTTTTTCCAGGTTTTCTTCACATTCCACTAATCCACGACTAACCAACTACCAGAGTTCGATGGTTTTACGCGTTTCGCTACTGGAGGGCACTTATTAGAATTAAGAAAGTACAGTACCGTTCAGAAATGAAAAAGCCGAGTCGTTAGATGTGGAAAATTAAATACTTATATTCTTATTATAGACTTTTCACATTCCACTCCACGTAAGTAAGTGTTACGCGCCTACCTGTCGCGGTAATTAAGGGAATATATAGTTTTTTAAATTATATTAATTTTTATAAGAATTATATTATGCTTATTATTTAATTAATTTTTTGCCAATAAATGGCGCTACGTGTAAACGAACAACTGGATGTAGATAGAAATTAATTGATGTAATGTACAGAAATCCAATAGATATTTTGGGGTGGGGTGCGCGACAATGTCTAAGTCAGAAGTTTGTAAACGTAACTGCCGAGTTTCGTAGCAATGGGTCGAATGTCCTAGGAGTATACTCGTAGGCCATATAGTGAACAAACAAAAAGACATCCTCGTTTATATATATATATATAGAAGAAGATATAAGTTAATTTGAAATTTTGAATATTTAATATGCTTAAAATATTACATTGTTACTAAAGACACAAAAATTTATTAAATACGTTTATTGTAAAAGAAAACAATCGGTACGATGAAACAATATAGCGATTAATATAATAATCCATACAATAGTCGACAATTTTTCCTTCTGTCAAGAAAATATGTAAAATCGTGGAAAATGTAAGTTTAGAACGTGTAGAATCGAAGAAAATTTAACATTGTTTCGACGAGCTTGGACCGAAGGGAGAAAAGCGGTATAAAATAAAATAAAACTAGAGACAAGAGATTACCGTATAGCAACGTTTTCCGACTTCTCTGGTCGCCCGACACTAGTAAAGCCAGATAGAATTCGAGACACACTTCTCTGAGAAAATCAAGAGCTTACGTAGATTACGAAATAAAATGATGGCTCTATACATTTGCAATATTCATTTTTAATTTTAAGCAATTCGTAAACGTTTATTCGTAAACAATATTCCATTTATATTTTACTCGAGACAACTTGGTAAATACGCTTTAGTCTCGGGGTTTAACCTTCGATTTTAATATTTCGTCACACGGTTGGAAAACATTACTTTATCAGTTAAGGTATAGGAAATTCAATATTCTACGTATATGTTTGGTGGAACCTGTTACGTAAGTATTCCACTTTGGATACGTTTGAAAGGTCGTCTTTTTAAATTACGGATTTCCCTTATTGTTGGTATTTTAATATTATTAATTTCATTAATTTTCTTTTTTTGAAAAAAAAAACAATTTTTTTTTCTATGTTAAGATTTCTCTGTTTTTAGAATATTAGTTTGAGCCGACTATTCGCTTCCACTTTTGTGTATTTTGTATATTTCTTTTCCCTACGATTATTATTGTTATTGTTGGTATTATTTATTAATGTTATTATTAGTGTATTTTTTCAAACAGGCTTATTATTCTGCGCTGAATTGTTAACATTATTATACTTTGTAATGGAATTGTTATTGATTGATTATAATATTGTGTTGTATGCCCGTACTGTACATGCGAGATTTCCTTGTAATAAATAAAAATAAATATTGTTATCATTTCTATACATATTTTCTACAGCATTCAATTTTTCTAAATCCTTATTAAATGTATGGATGACGTCATTAAATGCTTTAAAATACGCTCGTGTTCATCATCAATTTCCTTTCGTTACTCGGTCCTATAATTAAGCTTATTTTTATTAAATGCCATCACAACTCGACATTTCGGTCTTATAGCACTAACTTCGTATCGTATGATATTACCAATTACATACGAATTTTTAGAAATATAGTTTTCTAAACGAATTTATATTATACTAGCTGTTACCCGTGATTTCGCCCGCGCGGATTTTGCAAGCAAACCCTATTTACATTCAATATTTCAACAACCATAGTAATTGTTATATAACACCTACCGCCGAGAATGATAAGAATTGCTGAGAATCAAACGAACTGTTTTCAATTTGATCAATTTTCTGCAACGTTCACAATCGTTCTATAACCGAACCAATACGCAATAACAAATTCGAATTTAAAACGGTTCGAACATTTGGTTAAAAAATCGAAATATATAAATATATTGATAACAATGTCTGAAATGTTATCAATTTAATACCCCTAAGTACAGTCGACTCCCTATAATACGGGTTCTTATACTTCGGATTTCTATATCACGGCGAAAAAATTGCGACCGTATTCGTACAAACATGCTAAAAA